AAATGTTTTCTGCTCACCACAGTACCGACTAACAGACCAGGAGAGAGGATGCATTTTCAGGTTATTAGCATTCAGGCCTCGATTATGAAATGCAGGGCACTCAAAAAGAATACACTGTTCTAGGCTGTAACAGTACATAGATTAAGACAGCATTTTCTTAGTTTATGAGGTTACTTTGAACGTTTTCTTCATTTATAAGGGCTCACATGCTGCAGCTTATATTCCTCTACAGTTAACACTAGTTCTAACCATTCTTCACTGGAAAATGTTAACACCTTCCAAGAACGACCATAATTTTGTATTATCAAATTTCTCCACATTTTTATGACATCCTAGTAAAGCTAAGAGAAAATTAATTCAATTAAATCCATTCATTTCCCTTCTCTGTGACTTACCAAAAAATCCATAAATACTGGCTGCATTACTTTTTCTTGATGATCTGTCTTAATGAATATTCTGTAAGAGTTTGCTATTTTATTACTATTCTTTTGTTAAGTAACACTTGTATATTTTAATATTATCAGCAGCAGACAATTGGTCTACAGAACCTCAGCAAATGGCAACCCTTGTCTGAAGAGAGACTCCAGGTAAGTTCTGAATCTTAAGTGAACACGTCTTCCCTCTACAGTTCCCCTCTCCCCTCCAGACTTCACAACCTGGCAAGGAAAAGCTGTTCCAAACTGGTACTTTCTGATTGCTGCAGCATTTATCAAGAGCCACGCTTGCAACTGCAGGAATGCCATCAAGGACAGTGTGTTTCAGCACCTCATTACACAATCTGCCAGTCATCGCCGATGTTCTTTATGCTTCATTGTTTCTTCCAGACTGTATGCTCTCTAGAACACCTCATTTATCCCCAAGAGGACCACACCCCAGGGGTGGTTTTGCATAGCTTTTTGCTTTGGCTCTCAGTCCGCAGAAATAGATTCCTGTAGGAAAGGCCATACAATGTCATGTAGAAGCTCCATCCATTCTCCGAGTAGCGAGGAGAAAATGTTTAGGAGCAGAAGCACACAGTGACCCTTTGCCTCCTGTACTCTCTCAGTGGTTTAGGTTAGGAACACAGTTTGAATCTCAACCCTGTGTTTAGCAGTCCTTGAGGAACTAACACTAAATAATCTTTCCTATTCGTCTCCATACCATTCACCATTTCACATATCATTATCACAGTCCCTTTCCTGTCCTCCTTTCAAAACTCCCTTGCTATCTCCTTGAACAAAAACCATCCCACACCTTTGATCACCCCTCATTCATGTAACCCTTTTATAACCTTGTCATCAGAAATGCAGTGTTGAAGATGCAGAAGAGCAGTGAAAATTCATACATGGACAGTATCTTCCATTTTATTCTTATTTATAACTTGCCAGTTCCCAGGATTTAGTTCCCTTTCCCCACCCCCTTTTTTTAATACCCACGAGGATAAAGGAGATGCTATCGGACAGTGCTAAGAGCCCACCGTGTATGTGGTGTTGCGATAATTTTCCTTCTCCGGTACACATTACTTGACATTTATCAAAATTGAATTCCTCTACTGTTCTATTTACTCCGTTACCCAGTGGCATGAAATTCAGCAATCCTTTCTAGTCAGCTTCAATTTTGATTATCATGAAAAATGATACATAACTTCCACAAATTACATTGTTCTTATTCATTTTTTTCCTCAGGTCACTTACAAATATGTGGAAAAAGACAGGTCACAAACGGTCATGTCACTAGTAAAGAAGCTACTTTCTCCATTCCTCCCAGCTTTTACATAATTGCTAATCCATAAGCAAACTTTCCCTCTTACTTTATAGCTTAATAGTTTAAGAACCTTTGGCAAGGGCCTTTCTTAAAAATTCAAGTGCATTACGATCAAATCAACCACAAGCATTTGGCTCCTTCAGAAATCTCTCACAAGACCTCGAGAACTGACCTTCCTCCGAAAGAGCAGTGCTGACTCTCTCCAGATATACCATCTGTATCTGTTATCAACTCTTTCTAGTACCCATAGCTTGGATCAACCTGCCTGGTCAGGCTTCTCTTTTGTAGTTCTTCAGGTCACTCCCGGAGGATATCAGTTAAACTGGTGTCCTGGCCACCTAGCTGGAACCACTGCTAGTAGCTAAGTAACGTCATGTCCAAGTTCCTTTCAAATCTTGTGTTCTGGTCCTGAGTATCTCATCAGTCACTTCAAGGCTTTAATTCCACTGACATCTCCAGTTCCTCCAACATACACCCACTCCAAGAAAAGGCTCTGCTCTGAGGTGAATCTTCTGCAGTGAATAGAAATGCAGCATCTTTTTTCTGTTACAGCCTTATTTCTCCTTGACCTCTCCTTTTTACACTTTTGCCGAAGCTGGTAAGATGGTAGGTGATCAGATTTTAATTCTAATGTATGTCAACATTTCTGTATGCCTTCAGCAAGTTTCTCTTTGGGATCGTTCTCGTTACCACGCCACACGGCAGTTCTACATTTAACTCTACAGACTGCCTTTTCTGTTTTCTTTGTTCGGACACTACTTTTGTTTCCTAGGAAGATGGCTTTTAACATTAAATAGCTTCTCCATCTCTGTTAAAGTACACTGTCATTTCTTGAGATCTTCTAGTGTTTTTGATGTGACTTGCCCCTGGGCTGAGCTTCTAATACTCTTGTCTTGAAGCAATCTCTGCACTACAACCCCTTAAACACTTTTCTTTTGACAAACCTCCTTGTTTTGCATAGCTTCCCTTTCCAAAGTTAAACACTACTATTGCATATTTTGACTTTTTAAATTTCTACAAGGTTGCTAAATTTGAATACCTTATGGCTACTCTTACAGAGCAGCTCTTCCATAGAAAGATCTGGAACCGTGTAAGGTTTTGATACAATCCTGAACAATTTTTCTTCTTTGCGTCCTTCAGTTTCTCCAAGATCGGTAGGGTGTTTAAAACTTAGTTCTTGTGCTTGCATTGTGTTGCACAATGACAACTATGCAGAGTGCACCAGACAATAGATCTTTCCATTAACACTGTACTGTGGTGAGGTCAAGAGCCAGAGAAGCCAAGACAAACCATTCTGAAGGACTAGCCAAGATCCTGGTCACAGGTTGAGCTGAAAATGCCAAGACACACATTATTCCAACACACAATGTAAGATCACAGTCAGAAGCTCAGGAAGAGGGAGCAGGAATACAGCCTTTCCAACCAGGAAAAGAATAGACCAGGACTGGATCGCAGGGCCTGGAACACGGCTGAAATCAAATGGCAAATTAATTGGAAAAAGAAAACTGCCTGGTATTGCCTCACCTCCCACATATGCAAAGGCAACCACAAAAAACATGCAGGGGCCAGTTCTTACCCAGGCTGACACCACTCCCTGTTGCTGGGGCAATTGTTTGTTGCCAGCTCCAGATCTGGGAGCTCGCACAAAGTCTAACAGAAACAGCTTAAATGGGAGAGGGGGAAATATCACTGAGCGCTACGTGAAGAGAGAATATTTCTGAGCAGACCTCTACAGGTCGGTAAGAAAACAATGTGTGTGAAATCCAGGTACAGTTCTGAGCTCAAATTCGTTATGTTCACATTGTATTTGTGTTATTCAGACAAACATTTCCTTTCTCACACCATTCAGCATAACTGTATCCAGAAAGAACAAGCTTAACAGAGCAGACTTAAAAACCTGTAACTATCTAGCTTCACAATGAAGTAAAATTTGCAACGCTTGATTTAGAATGTGAATCTACAGTGCCATCTGCAGAAAGCAGACTGGCAAATTAATTGGCTACCAGTATAGCAGCAATTGAAAGTGCCAAAAGGCAAATATTGGTATGCAAGTATGGTATAAAATCAGGTGGAAAAGAGAAAGGGATATATATGCCATGACACCATTATGACAGCTGACAGATTCTGCAGAATGTATGCTGTATCTCAGGAAAGGAATGCATTTTATATTTTATTCCTTAAATGTTGTTCTTTTAACTCCTTTTAGGAGGAAAACTGATCCTCTTCTGTTTCTCCCACATCCTCTCAACACCATTTTGCAACCTGGAAGCACTGTGATTGTATCATGCATGCGCCGTACCAAAGGAGCTCACTCCAAACCCTCTGTCCCAGCTGTGCTGCTTGGCCGCAGGAGCGCAGCAGAACTGTTACTTAAATAGCATCACAGAGAGAAGAGAAAAAAAAAAAGTATCCGAGGCAGTAAAAACTTGCATGCCTGACTGTTATGATCTGCCTCGTCTCAGGCGTGAGGAAGCGGCTGCGGCCTGCTGCTGTGAACCAAGCGTGGAAGCCAGCTCTGCGTTTCAGACATTTCTGTCTCCCTTTCCCCACTGGAGACCTACGTGCCACGGCGACAGGAGAGATTAATGGTTTGCCAGGCAATCTGATTAGCAAGAAATGCTTTATCTGAGTACTTCTTAGAAAGTAAAGAGCTGATTTCCTCACAGGATTTCAAAGACATGCTGTGTTTCCTCAGGAAACACCTTTCAGGAGAAGCGCTGAGCCTCCTGCTCCGCTCCTCCCCCGCCCCCAACCGCCCGGTATTTCGTCCCAGCCGGCCCCTTTGGGGTCCCGGTGCCCGCCGGGGAGGGGAGAAGGCGGATGCGGGCGTACCGCGGGCGGCACAAACCCGCCCTCCCCCGACTCCGCGGCCGTACACCTCCGCCGCAGAAGATGGCTGCCCTCCGCGGGCGCGAGCCTGCGCTCTCGCGAGAGCGCGCCGGCCTTGTCTCGCGAGAGGCGGCG